AGGGGCCAAGTAGTTTCCTTTTTTTGTTGCTTTAAAATAGAAGATTAGGGGGAAAAAAGAGGAGAAAGGATAGTTTGAGTGCCAGTGATGGTTGCCAGTGGCACCAGGATTGGCATCAGACCTTCTTTGTTTAGCCTAGGATGTCTGTGATTTGTTGGTTGGCATCCGCATTGCAGTGCAGAGTAATGTTACAATATATTGACAATTTCCAGATCTAGAAGTGTCAATAATGTTTTCTGTTCTTAACAAAAAGAGCTTCTACTTCCATGTCTGCCCTGAAAGAAGAAATAAGGACTGATCCAGGAAGTTCTATCGTTGATGAACTTCATCAGATGCTACTTTTCGCTCATCTCAAAATTCAGCATCTTTTTTCCCCCTATTAACTTTCTGCTATCCTTCTAAATAAAATCCAAAAGAAAAAAAGAGGATTGACATAGGTTGCAATGCTGCTCCTTTGACTGAAAAGGAGGAAGAAAATGTGAAGTATACACTGTGATCAAGGTTTAACATTAAAATAATTATTAAGCACAACACGCTTCTATGGGAATCTGCTTGTTGTGTATATCAGGGGTGTGTGTGTGTGTCCCACACAGATTGTTTATAAAACCCAAACTTGAAAATGGTGTGAACTTTGTTTCTATTGATAGAATTGTCCTTTATTTTTTTTTTCCTGTCAGCATCAGAGGGTGTCTTATCATTTGGTATGAAATGCATTTCAGTCCATAAAATCATTTGATGGTATTAAATTCAGAGCAGCGCTTATGCTGTGTTCCCGTTGCTACAAGAACCGCCATTTTGTTTGTCGAGTGCCAGGAGAGGGGAAAAAAAAGGCAGACAATGTGCTTGATGCCAATAATGGTTGCCAGTGGCACCGAGGTTGGCATCAGACCCTCTTTGTCTAGTTGCTGAATGCCTTTGATTCGTTGGTTGGCATCCGCATTGCAGTGGGCACATTGGAAAGTTTTTGACAATCAGTGAATGAAAGCTGCAGTACTTGTTTGCTGCAACAGAACCAAGATAATATAAATCTCTCCTTCAGATGGATGTTTTACTTACTCTCTTATTTTTTTCTAAAACATAAAATATCTATAGTAATGTGCCTTGTCTGCAGAATTCTGAATTCCCTCATCATCTCCACTACTTTTTTTTTTTTCAGCATGAATAAAACGCAAACTTGATGTTAGATAATTCAGCATATACTGAATGAAGCATAGTACACCTTGGGAGTTTGGGAGTTTAAAGAACTGAAGCAGTGCTACATGCAAATGTTAAGATTTTTAAGTGTTTATAGTGCATGTGTCTCTCAGAGTACATTTCTCTGATCAGTCATGTTACTGTTTACACACTCCTTTGTCCTTATGTAAGGGTGATATAACTGGGGGAGCCCATGTTCCCAGCTGTTAATAAACTCTGGAGTCAAAGGAGGAGAGGATCTTTTAAACTATCTAAGGAGTGGGGAAGAAAATAAATGCAGATGTCCTTAGTCCCATAGTGTTCAGGCACTCTTCGTTTTCTAGGTTCTTACACCATCAAGATGCTACCACAGCTCCAGCTGTGTGACTTTGTTACCAGGAAATTGGCAAAAAAAAATCAATAATTTCTGTTGGAAGTTTCCTAGATAGTTAACATTAATATTGCTTTCCGGTTAACTGCTATTATCTCATTAATTAATAAGAAGGATTAGCAGTTCTACCCAAAGGGCTGTGCAGAAGGAAGCCTGGCCTATGTGAGTCCCTGAGTTGCTAGACTGTATCCTGTCTCTTGAGGATTTGAGGGGGGGTGCTGAGCCAGGAAAAAAAAAATGGAAAAAAGCAAGAGAAAGATGAGAGAAGAGCGAGGGCACTGGCCGGCCAAGGGGAGAATTTTGTGTGCAGGACTCTTGTGCTGGGGAGGTGGGCAGTGCCCTGCCATGCCGCAGGTGCCGTGCCCTGCTGGGGGTGTGGGAAGGGGCATGGGCACACCCCAGCGTGCCCACGCTCCTAAGGAGCACGCTGCAGATAACCTCAGCCGGAGTGCAGGGTGCTGCTGCCGCAGCGAGCTGGAACGATCTTGCCCTTCGCTTAATGCCAGCAAACTGGCAATCCCCAGCCAAGTGGGGATATCACTTTCCCAATTCAGACGGTCCTGGCAACATGTGTGCCTTGTCTTACTTGGAAAACATGCCTTCTTCCAGAAGGAATTGTAGTTCTTTATTTAATAAGATATGTCTGAATTGCAGGAGTGGGTGGGTTTATCAATGGCTTAATCTTTTTTAAAGCTTTTTGAATTTTGTGAATTTATGTCTATAGGGAGCTCAAATTTTGAAAGAGGTTTGCATAGTAGTTTCATGCTACATTTAAGTTTTCCTTCTGTAAGTTGAGAATATTATGTAGTCATTCTGTTCATATTTTAAAATTATAATAAAATTCATTTGATTAGTTTGCTGTGACTACAATCACACTCAAAATAATGTTTTAAGCAGTTTCTGGTTAAGTCATATTATGGTCATATGCCTAAATAC